TTATTACAAGCTCATCACCTCTGATATGCATGTGGTAGTGTTTAGCGAATAATACTTTGTTTAATTAGTCCAGGTTAGAATGGATTGAAAAGACTATAGGCAGAATTAGTAACTAGGTTTATGGGAACTGTAATAATCAAGAAACCAACACAGCTAGAACCCAGGAAAGTTAGATGAACTAGAGTCACTAGCTTCCTAACCAATACATCCCTGGCCAATTCCTTAGATTCACAGATCTGGAGAATGATGGCCCATTTCAGAGAAACCACCTCTATTTTTCTGCAAATTATATAATACTAAAACCATGTCATTAAATAAATTATTCTAACCTTTTTCCCCCCTTGCCTATATTGGATTTCAAAGTTCAGTACACATTCAAATTATTCAATTTTGATATCACTTTTATGATCAAATGCCCTACTTTTGAAATGGAAAGCTCAGCTGGCCATGTTCCCTGTTAAGTTTAAGAAGCTTTTATCATTTAAATAAATTAAACCTTCCAGCATGGGTTCCGCAGAACATAATGAAGCACAGAGAAGAAAAGCTTAAATGAAATAAACCTCTTTGCTCATAGAAACAGGACAGGCTATTATGCATGTTACCAATAATAGTGCAGCTGGAACCATAACTGATTCCTGATTTTTCTTTTTAAATTTTGTTCCTAATTTTCACGGTGTTCAACAGCAATCTGATTTGCCACTGGACAAAAGACAGATACAGAGTACATCAAGTACAAAGGATGTAAGTTATTAATGCTGAGGAAAGAACAAAGACTAGATTTTTTAAAAGCTGTTTTCTTTTAACACTGTGTTGATAATCATATATTTTTTCTTTTACGTGATTTAAATCAAACAGGTTGAACTCTTATAAACTCAGATCCTTTAACATTTTTTAAAAATTGCTTACTTGCAGGTTTTTAAAAATGTTCATTTTGTAAAGAAAAATCATCATCATTTCCATTCCATAATTGTATAAGATTAATCTCTGTGGTTTGTGTCTTGAGTTAGTAGGATACGTTATTTTTTGTATGATATATTAAAGTGTCATGCCATGAAAAGATTCAAATGGATTACGAAGAATCTATAGGTTCTTTCAATGGCCAATGAGCAGCATGCAGTTTTAAAAATCTAAATAAATAAAAATAGTATTTTAATTGGGTTTTACTAAAGAAAATTTATGAATCTTTTCATTATATCCTTAAGTGGAACCATTTTATTAAAGTCATGGTAAAAAGTTAAAGGTAAAAAAAAAAAACACTTTTTAAAAGGAAACATTCCACAGAATTAATTTGAGAATGTTATAATGATAATGTAGAATAATTACCATGGAAGTGTAGTTTACTCAGGTATAAAAACCCAATATTATTCAAAATTGGAGTGTGGGCTTCTGAAGTTATCTTCAAAACTATAAAGATTTAGAGGGAGGGTCTGTTACATATTGTATTTTTTTTAAATACAGCAAGTTACTTACATTAGTCACTCCTGATGTTTTATTTTCTTGTTTGTTAAATAATGCATTTTTTAAAGCTTCAGACAAAATAAAAAACTACTGTACTTTTCTTATAAGATCAACTAATGGCAGCACCTCAGTCATTAATCTTTAAACCTCATAAACATGATAAACTCTTCATTTTTGTATGGTTTTAATTTCAAGGTCTATATTATCTTACTTTTCATTAAGAAAATCTGGTATTATCATAAGTCAAAAATAGAGTTTCTGATAGATGGTGTTGTATCCTTACAATGAAACTAAATATTATGACTTAAGACCTTTTAAAAACTGACTTGTGGGTCAAAATTTAAACGTGCTTCCAGTCAGCAAGCATTTGTTAACTATCTACTTGTGCTGGGCTAGGTGCTAGGGATGTCACAATGGAGCATCTACTTCCAAACGAGGAAATAGTAGATACGGTGGATGATAATAATATTACTACAGTAATATATATACTATAGTCTATTTCAATTGGCTTGTTGTCAATCCTTGGAGTATTGGCTTTCTGAGACAGCCAAACCCTACTGGCTCCATTTTTATACATATATTTAATGGTCTCAAAGTCTCTAGCAACAGGTGCTCTAGAGAGTGCAATAGCCTCTCCCACCTCATGGAATACTTTTTCCTTATCTGGCTTCTGTGGGGCTGAAGTCACACATGGTTACCTTCTGTTCCTTTCTGAGACCACATGAATCCTGGCCAATGCCTATTCAGGCTACTAGGAAGTGAGAGACAAGAACTAAGGGCAGAGAACTTTTGCCTTCCTAAGAAGGTATATATATATTTTTTCCATTGTGTGTTGCTGGCTCCAAAAAGTGAATGTGTAGGTTGTGTTGATCTGCAAACTCCAGTTGAGAGAAGTCAAGGCCAGTCTTGATGTTGATAAGGTCCCTAGAACTTCAAAGGAGCCATGTCTAATATCACCTCATTTACTATTTCCCTGCATCAGAGATAAAGAAAAAGGAAGTGGGCAACACAGGATTCTGTCATCTACTGTCTCAAATCGTAATTTTTTTCTCTTTTCCAGGTTCTTTTTCTTTTCTTTTCAGTAGTCTAATTCTGTCTTCTTTGATCCCTGATGCAGACTGGGAGTCTGCCCTGTGCCAGCACTCCCTTTGTACTGGAATTTTGGTGGAGTCTTTGCTCTCAGCTCAATATTAGCAGTCCAGATAACTTTCTTGTTCTTGGTTGAGGGATAAGGGTGGCCAGCTCTGATCAAGTAATCTGGAAAAAGACTTTTTCTTGGTATTTTCCATGGGCATATTGCCATCTTAAATCACCAAACACTCTGAACTTGGTAAGCACAGAGTAACTGCAAGCAGTTGTTAGCCATTATACTGAAAATATAAAACCTAAGGCTCTCATCTTAGAGGCCCATAATTTCTCAATTATTAGGGATATTAAGTCTCTCATTAGAGTTTCTAAAAGATGTTAAGTTTACATAGCAATTCATGTAAACATTACAGAGAGTAATATTCTTGTTGATTATATACCAATAGCATTGTCAAATTTAGCCAACAAAAAGGCAAGGGTCCCAGTTAAAATTAAATTCAGGTAGCAGATATTGTTAGTGTATCAATATGTCTTTTTCACATAAGTATTATATGTTTTTTAGTATGTCTCAAATATTGCATGCGTGTCCTGCATTTTATCTGATGATCCTATGTGCCAAGAACCTGCTCTCCTCCTCTGATAGTTTGAAATAGATTCCTTTACTCCAAATGTAAAAGCTGCTTTCAAAAAAAAAAAGGAAGCTCAGAAGTGAGTTGGAAAGGTGAAAGGTGACATGGCCAGTCACTTATGTTAGGTCTCTCTTGTCAGTTCATAGAAAAAAAGTGAATGCCTCTTCAATGACAGGAGATGAAATAGGAAAATAGTAACCGTGCTTCCATATTTGGGTCTGTGTGGTCCACAGAGTGTTAGTTATCTTGAAGACTTAGTCCCTGTTCTCGTTTACTTAGGAAGGATAAGAAGTTGTCAACCCTTGAAAGATTTCTAATTAAACTGTGGGTGCTTTGATGTCAGACTTCAAGATTAGTATTACATCTTTTGAAAAGATACGATTTCATGTGCCAATAGAGAGGGAAATATGTTTTGGCCTTTACAGACAATTATTGAATTTAGAGAATACTTATTTTAAAATATAATCATTAATGCTTGATAAGCTGAATTTGGTATATTAATCTAAAATTTAGAAAAATGTTTTGCTACCTAGAAGAAGGATTACTATCTCCCTTACTCTTCAAGTAGTTTCTGGCTAGAAATCAATCAATTATTTATTTATTTAKTTAKTTAGTTAGTTAGTTAGTTAGTTACCCACCCTGGAAGGTACAGAACCTTTGAAAGGTGATAGTAGGAGGTATTTTGTGGAAGTACAGAGGGGGGAACCCACAAATTCTGAGAGTGTTTTATGGATAGGTATTGTGTGCTTCACATCTATTTCTTCTTTAATCAGTAACTTGGAGAGGGTGAGAGAGGTAAGTAATTTTGCTTGAGTTATAAAATTGTCTAATTCAGAAAGTGTTTTGTCTAATATAACTCCATGTTGAATTTTCCTTTCAGCCTCACCTGCACTTTCTTTGTTTTTCAGGAATCTAAGCAAATAAAATAAGACAAAACTCACCCTTACTAAGTTTACTTCTAAATGAAAATATAGGTATAATTTCCATATAGCCAGCATTTTTATTTCTCTTGATTTTGCATAAGTTTTTCCAAATATTTTCAAAGTACCTTTTGAATAAAGTTTTGTTTATGTATTTGGGATAGCCATCTACCCTCACATGAACTATATATTTAGTTTTATGTTTAAAAGATGAAGAATCAGAATTTGAATAGTCTAATCTCCAGCCCAGGTGGAAGTGTCACAGCATTCTTAGATTTGCTTGAATATTTTTGTGGTAGGAGTTCATATGTTTTTGAGGCAGCTTATGTAATTCATAGCAGTTTGAAATGAAGGCTTAATTGAACTGGTACTTGCCTTAGAGAAACCTTTCCTCATAGATCCTTGTTTTACATCTGGGGCCACATAAATATCTTGATTCCTTACCACTGCSCAACCCAGGTATCATGTTGGTAATCTCTGAATTTCAATACTTTTGTAGCTAAGAACTTTTACTGTCTGACTCCTAAAGAGAGGATGATATTAAAAAAAAAAAGGTGTTTCAATTATATTTATGCAAAAAGGTGAAAATATACAAAATATAGGAATGTATTACAGGGAAACTTAAGGGAYATATATTTGTTTACTTGTATATGTATACACACGAATATTCAAACACACGTATACTAACGTATACTTACATTGTAGAGAAGAAGCAAAGCCTCAGCTCAGTTGTTTCAGTCACATTCCCCCCACTGACATACAAGGAAATAGAGCACAGCGAGTAAGGAGGTAGTGTTTCCCCTTGAGAAAGGATCTTCCCATTTGTTCAAGGCTTGGTAAACCATGGCATGTCCACAGAGCATCATGCATCATAAATTCACCTCTTTGACTCTCTCCCATTCCACAGATCATCTTCCGAAAAATCAGCGATGTGAAGAAGGAGGAGGAGGAACGCCTCAGGCAGAAGAACGAGGTGACTCTCAGCATCCCCGTGGACCACCCAGTCAGGAAGCTCTTCCAGAAGTTCAAGCAGCAGAAGGAGCTGCGGAATCAGGGCTCCACGCAGAGTGACCCCGAGAGGAGCCAGCTCCAGGTGGAGAGCCGCTCCTTACAGAACGGAGCCTCCATCACGGGCACCAGTGTGGTGACCGTGTCGCAGATTACTCCCATCCAGACATCTCTGGCCTATGTGAAGACCAGTGAATCCCTCAAGCAGAACAACCGCGATGCCATGGAACTCAAGCCCAATGGTGGTGCTGACCCCAAATGTCTCAAAGTCAACAGCCCCATACGAATGAAAAATGGAAACGGGAAAGGGTGGCTGCGGCTCAAGAACAAYATGGGGGCCCATGAGGAGAAGAAGGAAGACTGGAATAATGTCACCAAAGCTGAGTCCCTGGGGCTCCTGTCYGAGGACCCCAAGGGCAGYGACTCRGAGAATAGTGTSACCAAAAACCCATTAMGGAAAACGGATTCTTGTGACAGTGGAATTACAAAAAGTGACCTTCGTTTGGAYAAGGCTGGTGAGGCCCGAAGTCCCCTGGAGCACAGTCCCATTCAGGCGGATGCCAAGCACCCCTTTTATCCTATCCCTGAGCAGGCCTTACAGACCACGCTGCAGGAAGTCAAACATGAACTCAAGGAGGACATCCAGCAGCTAAGCTGCAGAATGACTGCCCTGGAAAAGCAGGTGGCAGAAATCTTAAAAATACTGTCAGAAAAAAGCGTACCCCAGACTTCTTCTCCCAAATCCCAAATGCCACTCCAAGTACCTCCCCAAATACCCTGTCAGGATATTTTTAGTGTTTCMAGGCCTGAATCACCTGAATCTGACAAAGATGAAATCCACTTTTAATATATACATATACATATATATTTGTTAATATATGAAAACAGTATATACATCTATATACATATGTGTGTATATACAGTATATACATATATATATATATATATATATATATATTTTCACTTGCTTTCAATATGATGAACACAATATGGATTTTGATATGTACATATTGCATGTCCAGCTGGATTCTGGCCTGCCAAAGAAGATGATTATTAAACATAGATATTGCTTGTATATTATGCAGTTGACTGCATGCACACTTTACATTGACATTTATTTATATCCTCTATTCTGTAATTTTAAAATGTATGATTTTTTTGTTAACTAAGGCAATGTAATATTTGAAGAATCAGGGTCCAACCTGCCAATGTTGCCATGACAAATTTGATCTCAGGCTGAGTATATCAAGCTATCATTTCTTCAATGTTATGTTAAGTTAAATTATAGACTAATGCCAAGGAAGTACCATTTTATGATCTCTTTCCATAGATATTTTTCTGTAACTTAGTGTTAGGTTATTTTCCCCTCCATTTAAATACTGTTTTATTGCCTACGTCAGATAGCAGTGTGGGGTATTGAGAACTTATTGCTATGGGTTTTGTGCATGAATTGCATTTTCACTCAACTATACCTCTCCTTTTTTAACGTTATACTTAGATAGTAATCATTAGCTCTTATGTAAGGAAATCCCTACTGCCTCCGTCTTGGAGAACAGCCGCCATCTTGTAAGCTGACATTATCAATACCATGAACACTCAACTACTCATATAGTGTATATTATTATAAAAATACTGCACCACAGGGTATAAGGGCCTTTTGATAATTCATGTTAGAGATGCCAATTTTCCAAAGGTGATGAATGTTCTACATTTGTATTTTTAAAACTTGTTCAAGGGTGTGAGGTTGAAAGGTTCCTTAGCAAAATAACATACAAAAAAAAAATTATGTAAGTGTATGAAAAACTTACCTATTATGATACAGAATTAAAAAAAATAATGTACACTGATAGACATGTTCTGTTGCGTATCTGGAACTAAAAAAGAATGTCACATGATTGCTGACACATGATTCTGACTGTAGAGATGATACAAGAAATGTGGAAACCAGCAACCAATGGAGAGATAGATGTTAAGTTGTTCAACTCAGTTAACTGCTTTTCTATGATTTTTTCTGGTTCCAGTTTTGTAAAGCCTTTTTGCACAAAGTTTACTGCTGGATTCCTGCTGAGTTAATACAATAGACTACCATGGCTCAGGCAGATCCACTTACAAATGGGGGTAACTAAAGACTGAATGTCATTGTCTTTGGGGTCACAAATCCTCTTCTTAGAAAGTGCCTATTATCAACTAAAAAAGAAGTAACAAAGAGTTGTGTTGTCTATAGCTAGTCTTTCCAGTGATATGCATTGAAACAGAATACACATTCCTTTGTAAGAACCCAGGAGAATTTGTTTCTTTCAACTGAAGTACATTTTTTGAAGATGTTCAGAAAGGTATTCTTTTCAATTAGTGCATGCATGGCATTTAATATTGGGAGCAGGGGAGTTAAGTAACGAGTATCAAGTTGAAAATATATATATCAGTAATTTGTATATCATGGGACATATATGTTGACATATAAGATGATGGCAGAATCAAAAGAAATATTTTGGTTTATTATACCCATTTTTTTATGAGCTTTTGTAATTATCTTCCAGTTTCCCCAGTCAAATCTATTAAAACTGAAGGACAAGTTATCATCATTAGACTGGAGAAGTGTGAAACAGTAATTTATTTTAAAATGTTGCTATTTTAAAATTTATGTTTGAATTTCTTTATGAATCCTGAGGTGTGCCTGTTTAGGAGTCTCAAAACATGTGTTAAATACCATAGCTTCTTTCTTTTCTTTGTGCAAATAACTTCCATTTCCCATGATGGAAGTTTTCAGGGGAACATATTTCCGTGCTATGCTATGCTACAATATCTACCTACCATAGGCACAAATAATAATAATTATTGTTGTGGAATCAGTCTTGGAATCAGCCTTGAAATTGAGTTTTTTTTTTTTTTCATAGTGAGGCTAGTACTTTTATCTTGACCTTTGATGTTCATTGAATTTCAGGATAACTTTTTGTTTGTTTAAGTCAAGTTTAGCTAAAGTTTTTAAAGATGAATGAGTACTAAAAACAATTTGAGTACAGAAATTGTTAGCTTTAATCACGTGCTTCAAAAATAATAGTCAATGTAAACTGTAAGAGAATGACTGTGAAATAGCAGGATGATTTGAAGTTGCCAGCTACACCTTTGCAAACGGATGCAAATATTTGTTGCATTCTGACATTGACTCGGTTTTACCTAATTAACATATAATATTAGTCATGTTGTATTCTCTATCTAAATATATTTTTCATATAGGTGGGAAAGAAACAGTGGTTTTGAGCTACTCCAGGCTGTCAGTAAGGGGGAATGCATCAACTGTTTATTTATGGTGCAGTTATCACGGTATTCTTTTTCAGACATCTCAGTCCTCTGTGTGCATGTCATGATGCGGTGCTGAATGCACTCTGCTGTTTTCAGCAGGAATGCATGTATTCAGCAAACATTGTATATAGAGTAGTTTTTAGGTTCCCAGGCTTCACAATTCTTCACAGTAGCATTTACTCCAATTTGAATAAATGGTAAACACTTGCTTTAATACATGCAATAATCATGATACAATCAAGTTCTGCGTCGCCTCAACCAGCATATGGACAGTTGAGGCTTTATGGAGGACCAAATCACTGCATGTTTTATTCCTACACTGTATAGATGCTCTTGGTGCATCCAGAGTAAAATTTTTACTATTATACTTCTGAACAATGTACTAATAAGAGTAAATGGATATGTATTTAAAATCCAAACATTTTTTCCAAAGCAGCATACACATCTTCAATACTTTTCTATGATGYTATTAGTATAGAAGATCAGATGCTGTATCCTGCACAGGTGGTTGTAACATAACAGCAAAAGTCAAATGAAATTGGAAATGTGAACTTTGTATCATAACAGCAAGTTTTATCATCAAGTGTATCAAGATAGTGTTGCATTATATGTGATCCAGTATATGAAGAACTAACAATAAAAGGCAAATAGAAATCCAAAAGGTCAATGACAATACCAAAGCTTCTGGCATCCCACACTGATGTGAATGGTACTTAAAACTGTTCAGGCAAGGTGATTGAATATAGACTCCTACTTTAACAGTTAAAATGGAAAAAAATTATTATGACACTGGTTTCATCTCACATGAGTACAGGAGTATAAATATTCTAAGTATTAAGATAAAAACCAAACAACCAACTTAGTGTGGATCACAGGACAGAACATTTAAAACCTGGAGTTGAAAATTCTCCCTAGGACCAATATACATTTCTACAGAACCCAGAAATTTAGTAGGAATATTGATTATGACAAATAACTAACATGTCGTTTTGAAAATTAAACTCACTGATACCCCAAAACAAATCACATTTCCCCTTAGCTTTAAAGAGATTTTATTCACCTGTGAGATCTGGTCCTTTGATGTTATATTTGAAATAACCAAAATTTTCAACCCCCCTTTTCTCAAATAAAAAAAAAATAGTCTTCAGAAAAGTGATTGTTTTGAAGTGTGCAGTGGCTGATACTTGTAAAATTATTTGTCCTATTTCTAATGAATTCTACTTTCTTGTAAATTTTTTCTTTTGAGTTATTTTCTCTGATTCTCTTTTTCTAAATCATGTAATTAATGAGAAAATTTGTCTAGAATGTATGTATCATACAAGGATAACTCTAAAATATGAACATTTTGTAATTGTGAGGATGTTGTGCTTTAATATTTCTTTATTAGATATGCCTGTTTCACTTGTGATTCTTGCTGGGAAGAGGAGAAGAAAGATTTTTTTTTTTTTAAAACACCCTAGGACAGATATCTGGGATCTTTCTTGAATTCTGAATCTAGCTTTGTCACAATCTAGCAGGGTAATTTTGGGTGTGGTAATTGTTTTTAGTGTGCTCAGCATTTCAACTTCTTCACCAATGAATACTAAAACAAAGCTCAGTACAGAACCCTTCTTACATCAAGATGCTGTTATTTCTCAATGGAAAGTAATTTTTCTGTCAGATGAAACTCACATTAAGGCAAATTATCTTTTTTTTTTGTAGGATATAAACCATGATGTGCCCTCCATCTTTTAGGCTTTGGAAGAAATTTTTCTGAATAGAGGTTGTTGGTGAGAGTTGTAGGTTGCTAAATAATTCTCAGCCAGTTACATGGGAGCATGAGACTTGCACATTTTCTGGAAACTTAGAATTATTAGTCAAGTAAATATGGAGAAAATGAAGGTTTTTGAAAGTGAAAGAGGGGTAAATTTTATAGCTTTTCATATTCAATTTAATCAAATTGCTCAGCAGAAATTTTCAATTTTATGAAAAAAGCATACAAATTGTTAAATATWCAAGGTATTCATCCTTTGTCTTCTTATATAAATATAACCGTGATTTACACAAGATAAGTGATTCTACGTGGACAGATGTTCTTACAACAAAATTCTTAACTACAAAAGAATCCTTTCTAATGACCAATAGGTTTTCCAATGTGTATCTTGAACTTAAAAGAACAGGATAAATAAAGGAAAGCCATATGAATGGCATTGAAAACTACTAATTTGATGTATATTAAGTAACAATGTTTTAACTTAGAACATTATGTGATTACTTTTTAAATATTTATTCTTAAGTTTTAGGTGGACACAATATCTTTATTTTACATTTATGTGGTCCTGTGGATTGAACCCAGTGCCTCGTGCATGCTAGGCGAGTGCTGTACCACTGAGCCACAACCCCAGCCCCATTATGTGATTATTAATATTGGTAATTGGAAGAAGCTACTTATAGTCTTTGATTTTTGTAATATTTGTTCATTCTGCAAAGATATGTCTGTATCCTATACTCAAACTATTATTGCTACATACATCATAGTTAATTTATTATCACTACATTTTCTATGACCTTTTGAGTAAAGAAAATAAGAGGATATAGAAACAACAAGGAAATATTTATGCATTGGAAGCAATATTTATATCTCTCATTAGGTTTTGCTAATCATTTCCATCAAACCACAACTTAAAAATGGATATTACAAGTTAAGAATTATGCATATTTTGAAAGCACACATAATTGCCCATGTTAAAAAATACATTAGTTTTAAATGCCTTGTATTTTTGAGTAGAGTTCAAGAGGGTTTAAGGGCATTGGTCATCACTGGCCTTGACATTTTTACTATCCACTTCAATCCTTCCTATTTATTTGTTAAGTGATTAGTAATATTTATATTTCGATCCACCAAAGGCCTGTGACATTACAACTGGTAGCTGCTTTACATATGTATTCTTCACGTATGTAAATAAGTATTTTCAATCAGCTTTCAACATAAACTTTGTGCTTATAGTCTAAACGTATTAGCAGCTTACATTACAAAATCTTTATGACTATGGCATGGCATTTAGTATTTTTTTAGAGAGTTGATAAAGATCAGTTTGTCACTACAGAAAATATTCATCTTACCTTGGCCTAAGAAAACACAGATTAATAATGTCCAGGGAGCTACACAATCAGAAAAAAATCAAGGATTCAGGTTTTAAATAGGTTACTGGTGCCAGGCTGCGTGGATGGTGGGAGTCCAATCAGGCTTCATATATGGATCTTTGGAACAAATCTATAAAGAGGAGCACTGTGGAGGTTGCAATATAGATGCACGTAGAAGTAAACATGATCATTGACAATGTTTATGGATGCAATCAGAGCAACTGCGGCAAGCTTTGTAAATTTTTAAACTGTTTTAGCTTAACTTTACTATTGTTCTGTGCAAGTATATGCAGCTTTCTCAATGAGAGGAGTTAACTAAGTCTGGATCTGATATTTGTTGGAAAAAACATGAAAGCATGG